CTTAATCTGTTCTTTTAAGTCATACAAACTCCTCACATACCTCTCCCTACTGCTGAAAATATGCAGTTAGGAAAAACCAGCATAAGAATTTTTGCCTAGAGCCACTAAAAATGAACTTCTCCGACTCTGCACCTCAGTCTGCAAGAGCAGATACCCTGAGATTGGCTGAGCTGGTCAGAGATTAGCTCGGTCAGAGCACGGTGCTGATACCAGCAAGTTGTGTGTTTGATCCCCACATGGGCTTAAGAGCTGGACTCCGTGATCCTCGTGGGTACCTTCCAACTCAGAATATTCTGTGAAATCCAGATGCATAAATTTAGACCACACACTTTACAAAACTCTTATCTGGAGTACAAAGACAGTAACTCTGTGAAAAAATAATTAGCTCTGGGCATACTACAATGAAAAGATAAATATTGTATATACATCCTGCTGCAACTACTGTGTGTTTACTGAATATATGGCCTGAGAGCAAGTGGACACTGCTAATGTAACACAATGCCTCTGCTAGACAATGGCCTCAAAAAAACATTTCAGAACAGGAATGACTAACAGTCCTGTTTACCTATCATATCAGACTTCAAATAAACAAATATTTTATTTTTAGCATCAAAATGCACTAATGCAAGGCTGCCACATTATCTGGACTGCAGCAAAGTAGCATTTCTTGTTTTAATGTAAGCTAGTACGATTTAAAATTGTACTTTCAGGCTGAGATACTGTCTCCTACAGACTGATGTTCAGGTCAGCACAAAAAAATGCTTCTATATTCTGCAAAACAGAACTAGCCAATATATATGGCCTAAATGATACTGTTTGCATTTCATGGAATGAGAGTACTTATCAGGGTAGTGAAGCCCTGATGAAAAGAGGTGTTCCTTGGCAGGAATGGATTACAGAAATTGCACAGAGCCTTGAGAAGTAATGTAACCATCAGGTGAAATATCGAGTACAATATTCCACTTGACAGTAAAGCAGCTTTTCTGGACTGCTGTGTATGAATGAATATGAATGAAGCAGTGCCTACAGCGGCAAAGACTTAAGATACATCCCTACTCAGTACTCCCCCTTACAGAAACACTCAGTTGTGGCATTATCAGCTATTTTGCAAGGTGAATTGAACTCAAGCTTTCAGTTGTACAAATGACACATGGCTACTACCATGAAAAACCCTAGAACCAGTCATCCTAGGATATGGTGCTACTCAGTCCTATTTAAAATGCAAACCAATATTAATAAAGAGTTAAGTATTACTAAAAAAAAAAAAAATCCACCTCAAGAATCACATTGAATAATGTCTATTCAGAGACTACCTTGAAGATTACATGGATTTTTCCTTTGTTACATCAATCTCAGCTTGGCTGCATGATATTATCATGCAGTTAGCTTGGTTAAAAGAGCAACTATTTACAGTTATCAAATCACCAGCTGTAAATAACTTATCACTTACAGTTATCTTTCAGAATTTGAGGTATTGTTTTTGTCCATTAATAATCATCACTCTACAGATCAGTCTATGAATGTGGTGCAAGTCAGGTAGCCTTGAGATATCAATCTTTATATACAAGCTGTATGACAGCACTTGTCTGGAATTCGTGTTTTATTATAGTGGTCTTTACTAAGAACTGTGATTGGAAACTATTTCTAAAGCATTTACAACCTACATACAGAAACACTGCACAAAGCCTCTGTTGAGTATATATACAATTGTATGCAAATTCTGGAATGTTGAATAAAACTTCATACATTCTTAACCTGAAGAGCATTTTATCTCACATATGAATTTTATCTTACCTAACTAACCACAGGACTTTGATTAATGGTTTTCAGACATGATCATAGTTATACATCAACTTCCAGTATTACACAGACTTTATCTCAATTCTAATTGTTTTATCTACCTAATATCAGTGATTTCAAAACCATGTCTCTTTATCACCTAAGCACCAATGCTTAGAGAATAAAATTTTCTGTACCTCTTAACAGTCCAGAAACTATAGAGCTGTAACTCCTTCCTAGTTAATATTGCACATTTTGAATATATATGATACATTGCTTAATACTGAGATGTGACTATCAACACAGAAGAGGGGCAGGGCAGGTTTCTATAGCAAACTTCATGAGGCTACAGCAAAGGTGACAGCCAGAGAATGAAGCTTCTGGTTCATCGCTAGCTGAGAGAAAAAACACAACAGCTGAGTCATTGCTCCTCTGCAGCAATGGACAAAGCCAGGAAATGGAGAGGAGGCAGCACAATGTGGTATCTAGAAGGTAAGAACATTTGCAGTGAAATGAACCATGTCCCCAGGTATGGGTATAACACCCTACACATAATTCCAACATCCCTTCTTCTTGTAAGCTTTTGAAACTGACATCAGGAAACAATCATCTTCCACGTCTTTCATGCTGCCTTCCAGCCTTCTGCGTATTAAAACCTGTACAGACTTTGGATTACGACAAGAGGTAACAAAACAGAAGTGACTTCAAAAAACTTTACTCCTCAGATTTTTATTACATCAAAAGCCCCTGGAGAAATGGTACTGATTCAACAGCACATAAAATACTATGAATAAGTGGTCTGATGCAGGGTACACCTTTCCTTCCTTTAGGAGGTTACACTGTAGGCAGGAAATGATTTCCAGGATTTCAATCAGTTTTTGAAATTAGAAAAAAAAATATTTTTATCAGTTTAGCCTAATTGGTACACATTTCCTTACCTGACTTTATTAGGTGTATTTCAAATACTATCTCAGTTGCAATTTAAGAATGACCTAAGAACAATCTAAATTCTTGCTACATCAAGTGTTGTTACTTCAGGCCTTTAACAGCAAGATAAAATTACTAGTTCTCATTTAAGATAACTTCAGCAGCCCACCCGCAAAGATGAATACTTTTCCTATGATAAAACTGTTTTAAATAATTGCTCTAGAAATTAAGTTTGACTCCCACAGAAAAAAGTTACACTGATTTTCTTCATATTAGGAAAACAGAAATTGCTTCCCAAAAGGCATAAATTCTCAGTATTCATAGAACTCGTCCTGCGCCTAAAGCTCAGTCCTGTGATAAGCACACACGCCAAGCCTTCCTTCTCTGAAACTTTTACTGATGTTTTAAAACGCATTACAGAAAGTCAAGATGCATTCATTTGTCAATTCTGAAACCACGTTGTAAAATAACACACTATGAAATAGCAAACATTCCCACAGTTGACAGTCACTGTGAAGAAAATGGAATGAGGTTTTCTCCTTCTGGTATCATTTTCACTGGTGACACATTCAGTCTGTCCGTCCTGATACTGTGCAACAGTTTGTACAGATGCCACAATCTTTTCACTGAGTTTTGCCACAGTTAAGGACTGAATTGTAACTTAACAGAAAAACTTTCATGGAGGTTATCTTTTAATTAGCTTGTGTAATTTCAACTCAGTAATTCCACCTGATGAAAACACAGAAATGTTTCAAAACCAACCCAGACTGATTTACCTTATTACCAATTAAGTGCCCATACAGTAAAATAAACTTCCACTTCTGTAAGAACTGTGACAGACAGGAATAGCAGTCTTTATAATGGGTACAATCATGATCAAACGACATTCAAACTGGACAGCCAAAGCAAACAAGTCCAAACATACTTCCTTTGGGACTATATACACACAGGCTTGAAGTTCATGTGAACTGGGCACTAGTTAAAAGGTCTCTTCATACTTGAATCGGCCATTGCAAAAAATGTATTATGAATAGAAATAGTTAAATTACAGTTGCTTGACTGACTTAGTGAAGACCACAAAGGACATCTATGCCAAGTTGAATATATTAATTTTTTCACGTGCATTCATTTATGTTGCTTATGTAAGTCAAACTACATGAAAAGTATCTTACCGAGGCGTGCTGCTGAACATTCAAAAGGAACGGTTTACTAACACACAAGGCCCAAGTACCACAGGCACTCAGTATTCTCCTGCTGACTTTTCACATGTAACTCTAGGGAACGAATATTGTCACATCACATAAATCTTAGTTTGAGATCACCAATTCTGAAGTATTTCTAAGCACTGTAGTAGATAATGGTCAGCACCACGATTTGTGCTTTTTCACATAAACTTTCTGGAACATGCCTGATTCACCCTGATGATCCAATTTCATTAGATTATTTCTTTCAATGGGAAAAACAAATTTTAAGAGAAAGCCTGTAAACATATTTGCACACTTTAAACCACAACTTCGCTGTAATTGCACATTTTAGGATTGACTGGACACATGTTGCAAACTTAGTACCCGGCTTTTATTTAAGCCAATCTGGAAAGCACAAAGACCTACACAAGTATTAATTAAAACAAACCTCATTGTTTCGGAGAATTTTTCTTATGTAGCCAGAATCTCTTCTTCTGTTGCCTATTCCAGATAGACAATTGCATATGATCCCTCCACATTCACCCTCTGTGGACACTAAGGCAAATCTCCATATGGAACTGCCACTATTAATCTCATCAAACATACATGATTAATTCAGTCTACAGATACATATACACACATACAGGCCCTACCCTCCTTTAGAAATAGAATGCATGGCTGCATGCTTTTTTTCTCAGAAGCTGAAGTTGAAAGCAGTTTAAAACAGAAGTGCTGCAGGACAGTATCACCAATTCTATTCTAATCATTATTACAGAACAAAAATTTAGCTAGTGAAGTCTATAGAGACACTGGTCAATGTTCTTGGAAATCACAGACCTTTTTCGCGTTATTTTCTTACATTATCAGACCAGAGTATTAGCCTAAATAGTAACCAGTAAGTCTAATTCTTGGAGTTGAATAGCATTAGTCCACACCAAAAACCTATTTCTCCCATGCAGTTAAAGGAAGGCATCTTCTAAAGTAAAGGAAGTAATTCTGTTAAAATCAAATTTTAAAAACCAAATATGACACTTGTTTTGTAAAGAAATAGTTTTCTATTTTTATGTCACTGTATCAGTCACTACTACCCAAAGGGTTAAAAGAACATACCAGTTGGCACGAACCAGGCATTACTTTTGTTAAGCAGGTGACAATTGCTTCTGATCGTCTGAAAACTAACGAGGCCTTCCAGTGTGCATTTCTCAGACTTGAGGTTATCACAGATTCCCTTAGTGTTTCAAGATCCTATCTTAATAAAAACCCCCATTACGATTGCTACTTACAGACATACATTGTTTAGAGTGTTAGAAACCAGAGTTTTTTCTAACTCTGGTCAGAAACTTGCTCAGATAAAGAGCTGAAGCTAGCAGGCATGAGCTACTACAGAGGGCCCCAAAAACGACAAGGATAAGTGAAGATTTTGAAGAGTGATTTTATTCCAAAGTTGCAGCGTTAGGTGTATGTTTCCAAAGGATGCAGCGTAAGCAGTTGTAGTGGTTGAGAACAGGAAATCAGTTGTTTTCGCCCCTCATTTCTGTCCCCTTACAGTCAGTCACAAAAGCCTCCTGACCCTACATCTCTCACCCTTAAGGTATGTGCAGGTTACAGCCCGAGTGTTTTTCCCCCAGTTGTTAACGCGCACTCGGAACTCCGAGCCCAGCAAGGTTTACTCGCGTGGCCCGTTCACTATCCACAGCCACCCTACTGCCCCCAAATATAGCCAAGCACTACGAGCGTTCCCCGCGGGTCCCGCAGGGCAGATCCCTCCCCGCAGAGCCCGCGATTCCCCGCGGCCCCCGAGCCAAGCGGGAAGAGAGGGCCGGCACCTTCCACTCTCCCAGGGCCTCCACGTGGCCGCGCCGGGAGCGCTCGGCGGGGCCGCGACGCTCCCGAGCCGCGCTCCCGGCAGAAAAGGAGCCGGCGCGAAGTGGGAGAGCGGGTTCCAAGGGGCTCCCTGCGGCTGGGCCGGGTCTCCCGCGGCACCCCCCGACCCGTGCCGACCCCGTTTCTCTCCCCGCCCGAAAAGCGAGAGCAGCCCCGGCCCCGCCGCCGCGTCCCGGGCCCCCCGTCCCGGGCGCGGGGGCGCGGAGGATTTACCTGCCGCATGGTCTCCGCACGAGCAGGAGCGAGAAAGGGGGCGGGGGGGACGCGCCAGGGCCGCGGCGGCGCCTCGTGGTCCGCCGCCCTGGGGGGAGAGCCCGGGCGCGGCCCCCGCCCGCCGCCCCCTCACCCCGCCGGCCCCCGCGCCCACCCGGGCCCCGCCGCCACGTGACGAGGCGGCCGCGCCGCCGTGTCGCCCCTCACGCCGCTCCGCATCGCGGGGAAGGTGCTGTCCGCTACCGCCGATCGATCCCCCGTGCTGGCTCCTCGCCCGCGCCCGCGGCCCCCCCACCCCGCCCCGGCCGGCCCGCGCCGGCCGCCACCCGCTCCGCGGAGCCGGGCGGCTGTGGGGGAGGGCATGTAAACAAATGGGGTTTTATAGCTACCTCACTCGAGTGCCGTGTGCATCTCCCTCTCCGCTCGGTACCAAACCGCCGCGGCGCCTCCTCCTCCTCCCGCCGCTCCGCCGCCGCTATTCACAGACCCGCGTACGCTCGCCCTGCCCGCGCGGCCCCGCGGCCCGAGGCGGAGCCATTTCCTACCCCTGCTCCAGCGCTACGAAATCAGCGTAGCGCCCCTGCCCTGCCCGCCCCTCGCTGCGGCGGCGGGCGGCGAACGCCGAGCGATGGCCGCGGGCCGGGACGGCCCCGGGCACAGCCCTGCGGGCCCCGGGGAGCGGGGACGCTGCCGGGCCCCGCCGGAGGGAGGGCGGGCCGGGCCTCGGGGGGAGCCGGGCCTGCGGGCCGGACCTGGGCAGAGGGTCCGTCAGCAAGAGCGGGGCATTCCGTACCCAGGTACCTTCCGAGGGCGAGAACCGCATGGCCCCCCGTTTATTTAACTCCAGAAAATCCTGCCAGGCTTTCTCATGAAATGAAAACCTGATAAGGCGATAAACGTGTCCCCGTTCCGAGGTGGAGCCCCTCGTCACGACACGCTTCATTCCTATAGAACAGCTACAGAGCTAAAAAAAACACCCCCGCCCCCAACACCCTCTCCCCCCCCAACCTTATAGAAATGAACGCCCTCACTAGATCCGACACCTCACTAGATCGGGGGACATATTGGTTTATAACGTAAGACCTACAATATAGTGGGAGTGCTTCACAACAGATCATATTTTAAAATAGAGCAACGTGTTTTGCAATGGTTATTTATAAGAAGCGTGCCAAAAGGCTGAGGCGTGGTTCTAGGAACGTTTCAATAAATTTTAAGCTGCTTCATTTTTCTCTCGATAAATTTGCATACGATTTTTGCCACATTTTCTTCCAGAAATAGCTGGTGTTTCCATAGCGGGCTTCAATCTAGAAGCAAACCAACCTCTCTTCTGTTTGCTCAGAAGATACACATTTTTCTTTTAGACTCTTATATTCCTGAATTGAACTAACCTAATTATTTCTAAAACTGTTCCCTTTTTAAACTGGGTGATCCACATCAGTACTACTTTAAGTCTGGCCTGGCAGAGCCAGAATCCCATCCTATCCAATCATATCCTACTCCTCTCTTAGATCCAAGCCATACCCCATGGTTGTCCATTTCTAATTTCAAATCTCCTCCAACAACTTTTTCTCCCCTTAGTATTTATTTAGAGGGAAAAAACACTTATATTCCCTCCTTCATTTTTTTCCATATGTCCTACTGAATCCATGACTAGAATTCTAACACTACTAGTCCAAAGTCATTAGCTTACATCAAGTTTTAGAGACTAATAAAATTATTATTATTCACAAACTGTTGCACTAGATTATTTGTATGTTGATTTGAATGATTTCTTCCTCCATGCAGGTCCTTTATCTTTCAGAATACCTCTTGGTACAGCAAATAAAATACAGATCTGATTCTGGTATTGGTCATTAGACATCTACCACAATACCCACTGTTGATCACTGGACATGACTGATTTGTGTTGCTGTTCAGTCTAGAAAAAAAATCCACTGAGTGCAAAATAGATTTAAAATATAAAGTTTTGTATCTTTCCCCTTCAGAGTACATTGAGTGAATTGTACTCAGTAATAAAATAGAGCATATGGGGTTTGTTAGCCTTTCTGAGTAAAATTCAAATAATGTAAAACCTCATTAAAAGAAAAAGAAATTAGGAACTCTAGCAAAAGCACTGCAATGGATGAATAGAAATTACTATGTTTAATACAGAAAAGTCATTTAAAATTTCAGGTTTGATTGATTTTGTACTAGTTTCATTGTGTTTAGAAAACTGAGGGGGTAAGGAAGCTGCTCTGAAGGCAGCTTTGCCTTGTTGTGAGGGTACTGATGCTACGCAGGTACTTTCCAGAGACTCACCCAACCAAAGTGTACCAATAAACAAATCTCTGTGTTGGTGGGTTCCAGCTGTTTCGCACTCTAACTTGTATCTGTCGATTTTTAAGCCAGAAGGGACCATTAAGAGGCCTTCCAGCATTCTGATACTGGTCATTAGACATCCAAGTATCCTTCCCTGCTAACAAATGAAAGTCTAATTATTAGTTTGAGTTAGGTTATAACCCTCCCAGTTAGCCTGTTTGTATCTAGAATATTTTCCCAATAGTTGTACGTTGTATCTTTCATTTGTGTATCTTCTCAGTAGTTTTAACCACACGTTTTGGTACAAGAACTGCCTGCGCATCAGTATTTGAAGAAAAGAAGGTATGATTTTCTATAACACAGGTTCAAAAACCCAACCAAAAAACTATTAGATGAGGCATTACTATGAAAAGCATGCAGCTGAGAAATGTGCTTCCCTGTAAAGCCTGTGGAGCAACTTTCTGTGCTGCAGGGAAGCCAGCACTGCAAGAGGGCTGAGAGCTTGAGAAAACACAAATGTATGCAACAAATCCAGACTGACTTTTCAAGCTTCAAAAAGAATGATACATTATCATACTTCTAGAACAGAACTGTCTTTTTTTCCCTCTCCTTTCACAGCACACTTCCTTGCTGAGTAACACTGCACGGTGCATGCTCATGTACTGGGCTGCAGGAAGGGAGTTGTTTTATATATATATATGTAATACAGAAAGACTTGGGATATAAGGTTGCAAAAGCAGATTTTATCTTCTAGTAGGTCTTGTCTCACGATGGGGTCCTGTCTAGCAGCACATCTCCAGCTCCAGTGCAATGCTGTGACCTCTTTCCAGTGCCCTGAGGTCCTGATGCATTTGGACAGCAGGCCCAGCTGAGGTCAGCTGGCTGTGCCAGCACAGCAGATGAGAAAGTAAGAGACAGGATATGGTGCCAAGCTTTAGCTGTCAGATGCAGGCTTAAAGAGGGCAAGATTAGAGATTTTGACAGATCTCACACACTGATTTCCTGTCCTCCCCTTGTAACAATCCAATTGCATGTGAGGGATAAAAGGTTAACATATATATGTGTACAAAAAAGTAGTTTGTTTAGACAAACTATTAACCCCCTCCCCCCCAAAAAAAACCCAAACCAACAAAATAAAAAAATCACCAACCAACGAACCAGAACGCAAAGCTATACAATTAGTAATTCTGCACATAGGTTTAGTTCTTTAGTACCCTGGTACTGCCTCTGACTATAAACAGAAGTAAAATTCTTGTTAGTGTTCTTTCGAGGTCAGGAACAATAATACTGAAAAATATTTTAACTGGGAGAAATTAATTTAGAAAGGTTAAGTTGTACACAAACCTTCTCTCATTTAAATAGAAGAAAAATGTCACTACTTGTTGACAGAACAAAGTTCTGTAAACTTCACTCTGCCAAATTCAGCTTTTTTGGTTGAAGAACCCAATTTAATTTTCTTACTTTTGAAATATTGATATCTTATGAAAAAACCAAGATAATGGCTTGAAACATTAACTTGCTCCTTTATTTTACACCATCTGTCCAAGATTTAATCAGAATTTAAGGCATTGTGAATGCCAACAGAGCTGAGTTTGTGGCACGTTACATTGTACATTTTCTTTCCTGCTCTTTAACACGTTTTTTCTAGCTTCTGTGCCTGCCTTTCATGAATTCTGAGAGCCTGAAACAAAGTCAGAAATGCCATTTCTTGTGTGACAATGACCAACAAGTATTAATCAGTTTCCTAAAGAATTAACCTTGGCAGAATTAACCTTGAGGTAGAGAACAGCTAACAGGACACAGACTTGCCAAGCAGAAGGATTTTACCAAGTTCCTTAGGAGTGAAAGAGCTTTGCTGCAGGAAGCTTTACTCAGAAGTGCACTAACAACAGCTGCTGAAGTAAAATATCAAGAAATCATATAGAAGGCAATTTTTTTCCTTATTACGTAATTTCCTAATCTGTATCTCAAATATGACCTCTTGACAGCTCTCTCTTCTGCTCTGAAGTTACTGATGCGCTTACTCTGTAACCATCTGTGTGGTCAGTTTTTACAGATTTACTTCTATTTTCTCTGTTTGGCACTTTGAAATATGCTCATTCCCAGGCTGATAAGAGGGCTGAGATTGGATGCTGAAGCAGCAGAGACTTTGCTTATGGCAAGGACATAAGTGAAGATGTTTAAGCATCAGGGTGAACTTAAACAAGCAAGTAGTGATTCTGTGATTAAAGCTTGTGCTTGGAAATAGGCAGTGATGTTCTCTGGGGGATTTCACTGCCTCGGGACTACTTGGATTGTTTGCAATGAATTTAACGCTCAAGTTTATATAACTCCAAGGCTGTATATAAATATGGTATTTTAGTAGAGACTATATATGATTTTTTCCTGCCAAACTGGGTGCTCTCGTTTAAGCCTTTGCTTGGCAGATTTCTTTATTTAGCTCTAATTGGTTTCAACTGTGTGAATTCCAATGATAATTCAAAGTAGATCTGGTCAGTTTTGCATGAACTAGCACGTACAATTTGAGAGTTACTTTACTCATAAGATGGGACAAAAAGGGAAATGAATCCATCTACATGTAGGTTTTGAAGCAAAAATATCAATATCAATGATATTGTCTGCATAATTTTAAGTATGGTACTGGTGTAAATACTGGCAGGAAGTTAATTTAGACAAAAACCCATGTGGGGTTTTTTTGTTGTTGTTGTTTTTTTTTTTATCGTGCCAAAACAAGATACAGATTTTAAAGATCATTGTTTCAGAAGTTTTTGAGTTGGCCTCTTTGAGGGGGAGCGCCAAGCTTTTCGTTTTGTTTTTAAACACAGGCTGATATTTTTAGTGAGAAAATATAAAACCTTTGTCATTGGCTCAAGACTTAAGGTTACATAAACATCAAAGGACATAAACAAAAGGGCGTGATGCTGCAGCAGCAGCTGAAGTCTTTGGTGAGCACAGAGGTGTTCCTGCAATATGGAAAAAAGCCAATATGACTCATAGACCTTTGGTTGATTTTGCAAAGCTGGCAAACCCTAGTAGAGCTTATTCACAGGAAAACTATTGCTGGCAAACTTTACTTTGTTAAATGAATATCCCTTTGATTTGTTATTATTTGTTTTAAACATAACTTTCTAGTCCTACTTTCCAAAGCAGTCACAAACCCTTTCATTGAATCTGAGACAGACAGGGTTTGCTGGTCACAGGACTGGGATAAAATTCAAAGTGGAAGATGTTAGAAAGCAAGGACAGTGTGTCACAGCCTTCTTCCTCTCTTGCAAACTCAGGTTTACTTATTTTTCTCCCTTCCTCTCTGCCTGTTGAAAACACCTGTTTGCATCTTTTCTGTACACGCTGGTTGTGGAAGGATATCACCTTCATACTAAAGGATGTGATGTGAGGCAAAGGCCAGTCAGCTGCTTCCTTCAGCACATGACTGGGGTGAGATTGCTGAGCACAAAGAGCTTATGGTCATAGCCACACCAGAGCTCTGTATCAATAAATAGCGATATTATCTGCTGGAGCCAGGCAGGGTTCAAAACATTAAACAAAGCTGTGCTAGCTGGCTGGGTGGGGTAGAAATTCCTCTAAAGGTTTTCACTTATAAAAGTAAACTGGATTGATTCCAAAACTGACCCACCTGACCAAAGAGGAAATATTGACTTTAATGTAATCTCTTAACATGCTGAGGAATTTGTTTTACACCCTCTTCTCAAACTGTATGGAAAAATTTAAAGGGACTTGTCCCTGACATTATTTGAAAGAATCAATGAGCAGCTTAAAATAAGAAAACAAAGGTCAGTATCTTTTTTGGTTGTCAGTTCCTGTCAATTTTTAACTACTAGGATGGTGAATTGGCATTTTTTATATATGACCTAGACTTAGCTGAGTAATAGAAGCATAGCTCTTCTAAAGCTGGATTTTAGCAGGCAACTGGGGTGAATTTCCCCATTTCACCTGTGATACACACAAAAGTGGATATGACACATTCTAAACTCCTGCAATTCGTCTATTATCAGCAGGAAGAATCAGGAAGCCAAAACACCCTTAAGCTACTGGCTGTCTTGGGAGGGGTTACTCATCTATGAAATTACAGCAGTGAAAGGGAAGCCAATATGAGCTTGAATGAATGGACAAGGATGTTGTACAGCCTCATCCCTTCTTCATCAAAGATCCAAACCCCTTCTTCATCAAAGATCCAAAACCTCAAGGAGACTCCTACAGAGAAGACATGTGACAAGAACATGCACTGGCAGGGAAGACAAAGTTATTGTTTGTAGAAATAAAGCAGATTATGAAATAGACGTTTTGTTTGCTTTTCTGAAAATCAGCTGTACAAGTGGCAAAATCTAAAATCAACAGACAGACTCTCAAAATCAAAATTATCAATGACTGCCCCACTGTTTGGGAAAGAATTAAGCTCAGCTGTGTTTATCCACCCATGCCTGATAATTCGTAAATGGGAACTGGAGGGAGCAGTAGGATGCTGACCTTCGGACACCATTGAAAGGACATGACCTTGGCTTAGAAATGCTGGCACACACTGAAGTTGGGTAATTTTTCCCCATTATTTAAATTTTTTTTACATCTGTATTTAATGATGTCTACAGAAAATAAATAAGGACACATCAACTGTGTGAATGACATCAGGAAACACCCCCATTTCCAAATCTTTAACTACACTTATTTACAGTGCTACAAGGTACTGCAGTTTATTTTCCATGTTTCTGCCCCAAAATGCTTTGCACAGTTTTAATGACACAAGTAGGAATGCGAATTTAAATAGAAAGAACTAGGATGAAGAGGGTAAACTTTAGCAGATATACAAAAAAGATGAATCATAGGGACGCCTAAACAGGGTCCAAATGATGAGAAATGTAAAAAGCAGAGTTGAATATCAGTGAAATTACATGGAGAGACAGGCCACATGGATGTTGCACAGCCAGAAGCTGGGAAGGGAGCAGACAAATGGGGAGGCCTGTTTCGTGGCTGTTTTTCAACTGCATGACTTAGCAACCTCATTTGATACCTCTTGCTGTAAACCAGCAATAATTTCTTTGAGAACAACCTATAGCAGCAGAAAATTAGACTAATATAGTGATGAATAAATCCTGTTATGTTTAGAAAAAGAAGTTTTGAAGCATTTTCTCAAGCGTGGGACTAAAGACACTGCTTGTGACAGAGGGGATGTGGCCACTCATCTTTGCTGACACATCACATGGTGTGTTTGTGATGTATTAGAGCACTGAGAGGGCTCTGAGAAGACTCAAGGGTGGGAATACCAGTAAACAAGCAGATGGAAAATAAAGCCATTTCTGCTATGGTTGGGTTGGACTAACTTTGCTGAGATGTCCCATCCAGTCTGTCCATCCCTGGATATGTCATCCAAGAAAACTGACTGATAAACTCAAGGAAAGAAAACCAGTCTGAGACAAACTTAATGCTGGTTTTGTCAACACTGAAATTGAAAAGAAAAAAATTGAAAAGAAAAAAATTGAAAAAGAAAAAATTGGAAAAAAAAGTTAAATTTGAAAATGTATGATTTCACTCATGCTATTTATGTCTTTCCCCTCCTTTCAGATAACCTTCCCTTTTTGTATCTCTTACCTCTCCATAAAGACAACTAAAAATTCATTGCCATATATACACCAAAGGTAAACTCAGATGAGCTTCTCTGACAGCATTAATGAAATTATTGTGGACTTCTCCCAGAAAAACATATGAATTTGACTTCATACCTTTTCTTGGTAAAGCAAAGCACCCCAAGAATATTTAAAATAAAATGTTGAACAGTAAATGCTCTTCATTCTTTGTAACAGGTTTACATTATTGAATGTATACCGAAATGCACCACAGGCATGCAGTGATCTAATTCAAGGCTGAAAGTTAATTGAAAGAAACCAAATACTACTGCCTTATGGACAGATGGGGGCAAAATTCAAGGTCTTGGGAGTGAACTGAAATTTATTTTTTCATTTAATGGTTGTGCCATCTCTCAACAAATATGTCTGCTGACATAACTTCTTCCAGCATGTAGCTTACTCTAAACATGTAGAGAGTGTGACTTCTGAAGAGTTTTTCTCTCCTGCTGAGGTTTCTCAGTTATTTCTCGGAATTAAAAAAAATTGCCCATGAAGGTGCTTCACCCTGTCCCTATATGAAAGTGAGTGGGTAGTTATTCTCACTGAAAGCAGTCTCCCAGTAGCATTTGGCCATCAGACCACTTATGTAGTTACCTAAACCCAGTACCTTAAAACAGTTCATAAAACCATAGCCTCACTTTGAACAGTGCATACTTCAGAGAATAACCTTCTCTGGTTTTTGCAGGTAGTTTAGTAGAAGTCATTGTAGCTGAGTTGACACTAATTTCATTTACATCTTCAGAATTACTTTTCTGTTAATTATTAAATGTATGAGGGAAATCCATTTCATCAATTGCAAGTGCAATCTGAAGTTTGAAAGCCTATAATTGTCAAATTTCCAGTTTACTAAAATTCTGAGAATAAGTCTGAAGCACAACATAATACTCTTTGGTAAATCAATATACATAATGAAAAGAAGGAAATAGTACCCAGAAGCTTCAAGACATTGCTTCTTAAAGATAAACAGAAGCTAAACCTCAAGTCAGTACTTACTAATGATTTGCAAGGAAGCTTGAAATAAGAATATTTTAGGTAAGCCAATTACTTAAAAAGAGACTGCTCAGGGCTCTCCAGCTCACACATACCTGGGCTGGGCTGGCTCATTGCCAAATTCCCATGTGAAGCAGAGGCCAGATTCTAAGAAATTCTCGATCCCAAACCAGCTCACAGAGTTTTACTTAAGTTATCTCAAATAACCAGGAAGTACTTAGCTTGGACAGCACAATTCTGGATAATATTACTTATATTACAGGATGTGTCAAATTCATAACACAAGAATGACAAGAATTCATTGCTGTTATTCCAAGGGGCCTTTGCTTTTAAGGTAATCTACTCTTCTTACCCTGAAAGAAGTATATAAATTTTAGCCCCATTATCTCAGAATATATTAACAGTATCACAGTTATCACTCATTAGACAAAAGTAGACTTGGTTATGCAGCTTCTAAAAACAGTGAATCAGAAAATGAACTGCCAGCCCTGATGCACCTGGAAGTGCTGCAGGCACCCACTTCTTGAGAGCAGCATGCACACATTACAGATCAGATCAGGCCACTTACAGGATGTTGAGTGCCAACTTCATCATTCAGGATAGCAGTGACTGATTCTCGTTATATCTCTCTTTCTCCTCTTCCTCATTTACAAAAGGGAGAGACTGCATGGCCTTTAGTCACTTCCCTAAACAGGAAGACTTGCTATCTGTGCAGTTTCTTTTTTAAACTACTGTATTTTTAAGGAACTGCTTGAACAGGGTTTTTTATTTATTATTGTATTGAAACTGAACCTTGAGCTGGTAAAAACAATATTATGGTAGTGCTCTAGTTCTAAAACCAGAGCCGCTGTTTTCACAGGAGGACATTTCAAATTGCTGCACAAAACCTTTGACTGTTTAGCACTGAGAGGTACGCAGTGTACAAGTCCCAGTTACTGTGAACAGCCAAACAGCAGTAGACAATTTTTCAGAGGTTATTACTGATGGTTTTAATTGTAATCCAGAACATAACCCAGAGGAAAGTGATTTTTGCCGGGGAGAGTGAGGTGGATCAATATTACTGCAACTCTTTCCATTTTTCTTAATGTAACTTTTGTTGTACTGTGAAACAGCACAGAAACTGCATTCATTTCAAAAGTCAATGGTCTCCTGACATCAAAAGACAGAGTTAGTCTTCATTCTAATATAACCTGATCAGCAATTGTCCAGAAAGCTGAGTGAGGAAGAAATGACCAGACATCAAGAATTTGAGTCAGACGGAACTGCCCACAAACATTTCTGCCTCTTCATTGCACCTGTAACAGTTCTGTCTTCCTTACATATCCCACAGCTTTCTGTCTTGTTAGGCCTCACGTTCAGCCCTTTGGCTCTTTTCGGAGGTGATTCAGTTTTCATAAGGCAATAGTTTATATTTTCATGAATCTGCAAAAGCAACCCACCCTCTTTTTTCCAAACATGATTAAAATTTACAGTATCACCTGGGCAGAGGCCCCAAAGAGACAGGCATTCTGGTTTCCAGTTGTAGAAAACCAGGCCAGCAATTCTGTGTTTTTCTGGGGACAGCATTTCCATGTGCTTTTATGAGAGTGCTCACCAGAGCATAATCTACAGGCCAGTCAGTCTCACCTTGGTGCCTGGCAAGATCATGGAACAGATTCTCCTGAAAACTATGCTAAAGCATATGGGAAAAAAGGAGGTGAATGATGATGGTCAACAAGGCTTCACTAAGGGCAAATCATGCCTGAAAAATCTGGTTGTCTTCTACGATGAGGTTACAGTGCTGGTGGATAAGGAAAGAGCAACAGACATCATCTGCTTAGAGATGTGCAAAGCATTTTACACTGTCCCTCATGACATCCTTGTCTCTAAACTGGAGAGACATGGATTTGACAGATGGATTACTTGGTGCGTAAAGAACAGGTAGATGGTTTCACTCAGAGTCAACAGCTCCATGTTCAAGTGGAGATCAGTGACAGGTGGTGTTCCTCAGGGCTGGATATTGGATGGGCACTGTTTAACATCCTGGCGACAGGCACAGTGGGATCGAGTGCACCCTCAGCAAATTTGCCGACAACACCGAGCTGTGCGGTGCGAGTGACACTTAAGGGGGAGCGACAGAATCCAGAGGGACCTGCATGGGCTTGAGAGGTGGGTCCTTGTGAAGTTCATGAGGTTCAACAGGGCCAAGTGCAAAGTTGGTTGAAGTTTTTTTTGAAGGAATGGAAACATAATACTTAAACTAGTACTTAAACTGGTGGTTCCTCTGTGGCAGTACTTACCAAGGTGGGATTTTAGCTGAAAAGTACAGAGGAATGTATAAGAAAAATCTGTTGCTGATAAGGGCTCAAATATAAAACTTAAGGGGACTATTTCTCTTCACTGCCCAGTCACTCTTCTCACTGCAAGCCCTTGAAGTCTCCAGCCACTGACTGCCATTACATTAAGTTTTAAACCAGTTATCCTTCAATACAAGGCAGGAGGAGATAGCTTGAGAGCACTTTTCTATTTGACATTTGCATAATGAACTTATATCGAAGCTGTCTTTCACAGCATCACTGAGGTTAATGCCTTAATAAAAACAGCTTCTCCTCAATGGACTTTGTTTGCTTTAGCCTGACCTTATTTTCAGGGGATTAAAATTTAGCAATAATATTTTTATGGTCCTGAACTCT